TGCACAGGTGAACCATATGTAAACCGTAACACTCCGGCAATATTGTGCATGCCAGAGCTAGACATGTCGGCGTCGCTCACGACGTGACCGCTTGCTTAAACGGAATATAACGCACTGAGAGAGGAGAGGAGACGGGCCGACATAATCGAAAGTCATACTTTGTTTATTATCGGTATAAAAAATTTAGCTGCAAAAAAGTTACCCTCTACACATGATGGATCTTTCGTGTCCTAAGATAAATTTCCGAATTGTTCTCGTTGGAGGATATACAGGAATGGGAGTCGATAACGCACAAAATTTGTTTGGATACACAAACTTTTTTTAGAAAGAGAATATAGATCATTATTTAGCTGTTTCTAATATTTCAAGGAAAAAATTCTGAGAACACGAACGATTGAAATCGTATATTTTCGAAATAAGTTAAATAATATAAGCTCGTGCATGATCATGAAAACTTTTGCATTTTGCTTGCAGTTATTTCTGCCGAAGATGCATCTATGGGACCGGTGTTTGTTAAGGAACCTCCAAACCGGATTGATTTCTCAAATGGAACTGGAGCCGTCGTTGAATGTCAGGCAAGAGGAAACCCACAACCAGATATCATTTGGGTCCGTTCTGATGGAAATACTGCTGTAGGAGACGTTCCTGGATTGAGACAGGTATTGTGTTAAATTTTAATTTGTTTTTGCAATTAAAGTGTCACAATTAAATAAGTATTAAAACCGATATTGAAAGAAATTCATGATTTTTTTAGAGGTTTTATCAAATTGTTTTAAAATAAATGCGCGCGCATACAGCATTTGTTTTTCTATTCTATTAATGTTAGCAAAATGCATATTCTTAATTTAAAAATGTAGGGGCTTAATTGCTTACATTGTACCTCTTAACATTTAAATAAAATTGTTACAAAAATACTGAAGAGATTAAAATTTGTTTAAAATAAGATTTAAAAAAAGTATAAGCTTTTAGTGCGATTTGAAGATCGGGCCATTAAATTGTACCACTGGATTTCTAAACCGTACTTTTAATAAATAATCATTAGTTTTTATAAAAAAAAAATCTAAATTTTCTTAAAATCAAACAAATAATATTTATGAATAATTTTTAATAGTTTAAAGTTATTTTAAAAAGATTCAATATTTCTTTTAGAAAATACAATGATGGTACGATTTAACCGTCGCGTCGCGTCTGTACAACTTACTTAATTAGTCAACTGCATCATATAAAATTGAAGAAAAGTTTTTTCTTTCACGTATGGAATGAACTATTTGTTAAAATAGCTGCCGATTACTAGTTATTCCAGTATCAAATACCTATCTGCAATATGTGAATGGAGTTATTAAACGCCTATGCCATCCCACATTCATTCACGTGATCGTGAAGGACGCTTTAATTATTTTCAAGCTTGCTGCGTGCATTATTACGTATAATTTATAATTTAGTTTCTATAATTATTGGCTCTTCGTAGGTTATGCCGAATGGAAATTTGGTGTTCCCTCCTTTCCGTGCTGAAGATTATCGTCAAGAAGTTCACGCTCAGGTCTACACCTGTTTAGCACGTTCCCCTGCAGGTTCGGTACACAGCCGTGATGTCAACGTGAGAGCCGGTAAGTGTCTATCTTTACATTTATCCATTAGGCATTTATCATTTAGCCATCTATAGCATTTTATATAGGATGTTCACAAAAATAAAAAGCATCTTTAAATTTAAATTCAAGTAAATTCGAATTTAAGGTCGATCTCTGATAGAAACTCAATTTTCTTTGCACTTAATATCAAAATGAATTTATGTTAGTTATTAAAATACAATTAAAATTATAAAGATGAAAGGAAATAGTTTGAATTTTTAACGTTTATTTTAGTTTGACAAAAAATATTAAAATTATAGGTCAATAATTGCAAAAACATTCCGTGTAACAAAATAAAAATTATTTTTAAGTTAAAATTTTTATTAGATACTTTATTGTAATATTTTAATGTAATCTTAAGCGCCAGAAATTTTTTACTTAAAAATTTTGAATTAATTTTGCAATATATATATATATAATACGTTTAAGATTAAAATTATATTTTTAGATAGAATTTTTTTAATAAGATGGCTAAATATTGGAAAATATAAAAATTATTCTTTTCAGCGAAAAAGCACGCTTTTTGGTGCTTATTATTTCTTTTACATTATATCCGAAGTCTTTTGAAAAAACTTCAATTCGATAAAAGATATCGGTATCAATCAGATGATAGTAGTTTGATGCTGGATATTGCCCTTTAAATATGTTACAATCTGCCGCCGCCGTTTATGCGAAAAATATATTCGATTCCTCCAGCCTCAATCTGCTTGCAAGTAATTAGGAAATTGCTCTTTGCATGATCGATGTAATGCAATTTTAAGTGATGTCATCGTATTATACTATTCGTGCGAAACTAAAAACGCTTCTGAATCACATATAGTGATGTCATTAAATCTGACTTTATCGACCGCACAACACAGTTTCAAGTTGCATTCTTATCTTTTTCCGGTTAAATATAATTCATTCTTTACAGATTTCTAAAATGAATTTTTTAGATAAACAAAGTAATGATAAATAACAATAATTATTTAAAAATATTATTAGATCATTTAAGGCATTGATTTCTATAGTTTATGTTATCACATATCCTATAAGATATTATATTGTTTAAACGTTTATAATTATATTATTAATCGTTAAAAATATTACATATAATTTCAAATATAGTGACATATATATTTTAAAGATTGTATAGTGTATTAATGGTAGAAAGTCAATTTTAAAGAAAAATATATATTTTAACAATATATATTTGCAAAAAAATATTTATATTTTCTTGGAGCCGTTGAGGCTGGAGCAAAATAATTCCCGACGTACTATGAATGTCATTGTGTGTACGAAATTATAGTGGTGGCGCAGTATTACGACACCGACGTCAATAAAGAATACGCGATCCGTGGGAACAGTGCCATTTTGAAATGTGTCGTTCCTTCTTTCGTCGCCGATTTCGTCAAAGTCCTATCCTGGCATACGGATCAGGGAGAGGAATTCGTGCCTGGCGATGATTTTGGTATAAACAGAATTAGGATTTATGATTAGTGAATTAACCGATCTCCTTATCTCCTTGCGAGCAGAAAATTTTGTCGTATCTTTGGTCCGAACGATCTTTGATCTTTTATCGATATAAAATTAAAAATTGTGCATTTTCTAATTATTTTTAAAAGATATCTGAAGTTTTATAAAAATAAAATTCACATTTGACCTAGCCATTTATAAATGCATTAAAAAAAAAGATAAAAGATGAATTTCCCAATTCAGTTATGCCCCTTCGCATAGAGACAATTAAGAGATAATGTCATTATTGTCCGGTCATATATTTCAGTTCGGTAGGGCACAAATGCATCGTGTCGTTCGGTTGAGTGACTGACACCATCCGTGCGACTCGGCCGCTTCTCGTATATTGATCTCAATTGCTACGGTAGCAAAATGCAAATCTATTTGGAACGTTGCAACGCGAAAGTATATGGGTCGTTCACTTTCCACGGCCAACACATGTGTATGTAACATATATATACACACACACACACACACACACACACACATATATATATATATATATACATATATACATATATATCTATATGCATGCATCGTCACATTTATCTCGTTAACGTTATCCAATACGATATATCTTAAATATCAACTGAAACGATTGGATATTTGACCATTGTCAGTTATCTCTCTCATTTTTCTATTAAACCCAGAGTTCACTTCTGACGCGCCGTCTATATATTTTAAATCCGTCAGTTCGTTTAATAATATTTATTTTTAGTCTGTTCCCTTTTTCCTGTTCTAAAAATTAATAATAACAACGCTAATTGATCGTAATAACAATAGAAACAATAACGAGAATTTTTATAATATTTTTAATTAATTTTTGTCTATAATATTAATGTCTCATTGTATTACTTATCTAGTATTTCATAAAAATACAAAAGCAATTAGTACGTTAATTACGTAATAATTGTTCTCGTAATTACAATTAAATGTAATTTCATAAGAGATTTTTCGAAAGAAATTTTTACTTTTGTTTAAACCATTTTTTAGAATGTTGTATCGACGCATCCAATATATCTGTATATGCATATGTGTACGCATGCAAAGTCAATCGATCATATACCGTCATTATAGACTGCCGACATAAGATACGACAATAATTCTGCTCGCGGAGCAATGGCGAAATATATCGCCCAAAGCTGCCGTCAACGTCGTCGACATTTCATTCGTTTTCCGAAAATTAATTTATATTAAAAAAAAACGTTTTATGAATGTATATCTCATACTGTGTGTAAAGATAATATGTCAAAGAGTCGAGCAATTTGAAGCGATTACAAAATACGACGTTTTGTTAAATGTATTTCCAATGATGAAAATAAAACCGATACAAGTCATGATTGTTATCCTCAGTAGACAAATCGGGCTTGCATAGATTATTTTGATCATTTATTGCAGTGGTACATCAGTATTATCAATCCGAGGTCAACAATGAGTATGTAATACGCGGCAACGCGGCCATTCTCAAATGCAGTATACCGAGCTTCGTCGCAGAATTCGTTCAGGTTATTGGTTGGCAGGACGATCAGGGAAATTCTTTTGATCCGGATCAGGATAACGGTACAGTCCGAAACTTTTAGGAAAATTCGGAAAGTCGGAACCCGCGTGGGCAGCGAATGATGAACTGGTCAACGTCGTCGATGTCGTGTTCGAGAGACGCGATATAATTTTTTTCATCCGATCATGTATCGCAATACTGATTGATATTTTATTTAAATTAATTGAAGAATAATTAATTTAAAGAATATAACTTTTTGAAACGTATATCGAACTTGCTAATTTGTATTTGAATAATGGTTGGGACACGAGTGCAGAAACGTTTGATTTTATTTAAGACTGCGTAACTGATGCAATTTCTCGAGTAAATCGAATCCTCGAAACTTCTATCTACTATCTAAGAACCAGTTTCCGTAATTACATAGTGGAGCGTAGAATCAAATTGTATAATGCTAGCTGCTGGAGTGCAACTCTAATGTTGTAATCTCTTTGATCGTAATCACCTAATTTTCTCCAAAGAAATGTGTTACATTTCTAAGGAATAATTGAGTAAACATGTGTAACAAAGCACTGTCTACAGCGATGTGTACGTCATGATAATTAAAAAAATATTATACAGCCTCCTGAACCAAGAAAAATGTTTCTTCTCGATTAGGCACGCAACAATGTAAAGCAATGTTCGAAAGCACGCGATATGTGATGTACAGCCACACAATGCGCTATTATAATACGCCATTACCTTTTGCAGTCGTGACTCAGTATTATGAGGCGGAAGTTGTATCGGAATACGTGATACGTGGAAATGCGGCTATTTTAAAATGCACCATACCGAGCTTTGTCGCCGAATTTGTATCGGTCGAATCGTGGGTGGGAAGCGACGGTTCGACCTTCAGACCGTCTACTGACTACGGTATGATACACCTACATACGTGTTTTTATTCTGAATCCAGCGCACTTTTCTCTTATTATTCCTTTTAGAACAGAATCCTGACGGGGATGATACGCTGGAAAGATATTTATTTCCTCCTATTTCTATGTCTCCTTCATTTAGCCGAAGAAAATTGATATCACTTATATGTTAACGAATATTTATTTTATAATTGTTTGAAGTTTTCTTTTACTGAGAT